GTTATCTGCACACAACTTTTGAATAGAAAGTAAATTAAATTTTAGCTGAGGCACATGATAAACAGATTTGAGCATAAGTGGACGGCTAGAGGTATTTAAACAAATATCACCAATATTTTTAATAGGAAGATTAGTTCCATTAGCAACACTAACAGATATGGGGCCAACATAAGGAGATTTATTAACTAAATTACCTTCATTCGGGTCATGTGAGCAGAAGCCCCAGAATCGGGGTACCATAAAGCAGTATTAGCATCACCATTAGGAGTTAATAGAGCGGGGGCAGATGTCTGGGAAAATCGAGACGGATAATTCATAGCAGAGTGACCTATAGAAAAACAAATTTGGCAAACAACGGGAGAGGGAACAGACCCAAGAACTCCCTCAGTTGAAGGAAAGCCTGCATAGCCAGAGTTAGTACCGCAAGTATAAAAGGGATTAATATTTAAAGTGGACAAAACTGAATTACTAGCAGTACCTGAAGTGCCCGGTCTAGGAAAAGCTGCACCCCCTGGAGACTGAACAAGTGGCGGCTGCTGCTGGCCAAAAGGTGCGGGCTGGCCGAATGCAGGGGGCTGGCCAAAGGGGTGCTGGTGCTGTTGTTGGCCATATGGGAATCGCCCTCGGCCACGACCACCCCTGCCGCGACCACCTCTTCCGCGGCCTCCCCTGCCACGAGGTGCATTCGCGGGGGCTTGCTGACCGATCCCAGCCGGAGCTGCAAAAGCTTGATGAGTCGGAGATTGATTTTGTTGGCGGTTGTATAAGACCCGTTGCTCTTGCTCCAAAAGGCGTGGATGTAAAATATGAAAAGGAAAGCTATCCGGGAACAGAGTAACAGTGCCAACCAAGGATTCATATTCAGGTCCCAACCCCGCAACTATGTACTCAAGTAATTCTTTGTGCGTCACAGGAGAGTTAATTGCCGCTAGAGAATCAACCATATTCTTAATATCTCTCAAATAATGATCCATGGACTGAGTTTCTTTCTTTTTATTGTGAGATAACAGACGTTTAATTTCCATAGCACGGGGCAAACTAGCAGACATAAACCTAGTTTGGAGACACTCCCAAATAGCAGAAGAATGCTTAAGATCATGTACTTCTACCAATACATCACGAGTCAATGTTGCAAACAACCATGACCGAATAGTTTGATCCACACGTAACCAGTAATAGTATTCAGAATTACTAACTTGACGATTAGCAACATCAATGGTGTGCATAGGAGGTACCTGAATGGACCCATCAAGCATGCCGAATAACCCCTGAGAGACCAGGAATGACTCAAATTGGGTACGCCATGTAAGATAATCTTCTACTGCCTTGAGCTTAATGGTAACAATTTGTGTAATCGTCGTGATATGAGAAACAGATTGCGCCATAGACGCCATAGGAGACCCAAAAATCGAAGAATCAGTGGGCCGTGCAATTCCAGGGGAGCCCGTAAATGTGGTCCCGAAAAACATAGGGACTGGAGCCGTCTGAACTGGAGGCGTAGGTTGGGCTGATGCTAGAGCCGTGTGAGCTGGAACCACATGCCATGGAGATTGAGAGGGTTGCACCTGCCATGGAAACTGAGAAGATTGAACCTGCAAGGGAGAAGATTGAGGCGTAGCCTGCTGCCATGGAAATTGAGAAGATTGAACCTGCAATGGAGAAGATTGAGGCGGAGCCTGCTGCCATGGAAATTGAGAAGATTGAACCTGCAATGGAGAAGATTGAGGCAGAGCCTGCTGCCATGGAAATTGAGGGGTCTGAATCGGAGCTGGCTGCCATGGAAATTGAGGAGGCAGGTTGTTGAAGAGACTGTAGGTGCTCGGCGAACTCCAAGGAGAGGAGAACGGCTCTGAAATTGGGGGCACCACAGAGGAAAAGTCCGGCTGCATCATCGCGGAGGAGATGGCGCCGATGGAAGAGCTGGCGGTGACCGCTGCAGTTGAGACGGACGAGGAAGCAACGTCCGAGGATGAGATTGCGCCAGTCGAGAAGCTTGACGAGAAGGGCTCGCCGATATGCTGTCCTGAAGAGATTTCCGCCGAGGACATTGCGATAGTTTGAAGTACGATTGACTGGTGCCGAAGAGTAGAGAAAGAGGCAGCCGAGAAGGAAAAAAATTGTAAACCTAAGCTCTTGATACCATGTGGAATAATGGAACAGGTTGCCCTCTAAGGAGCCCTGACTGATGTATATATAGTAAAATAAATGTCACAAATATAATTGGGCTAAGCCCACTATTAATTTTATATGTATAAATTCGTTTTAAAAAGACGTACACAACTATCTTGGTAGCTAGGAATCCTAGGATGGAGAGGGGGCTGAATAATCCAGAGGTGGGCTAGGGGGTTGAGGGGCCTGGGAGGGTCAGCAGAGGCAGTGGCGGTCATCACTAGCTTGGCGGCAGTTGTTGGCGTCCTAACGGAGGGCGGTCACTAGCGGTACGGATGTACGGTGTAGTTGTCACTGAGCAACGGGTCACCGTGGCAATCATTGGGATAGTTGGTCATTTTAGTTCGCGATGGTCATGACTAAGTTAAAGCATTACCCACTCCGGGACAGGGTCACTATGAGGTTGATCATTGTAGCGATAGTAATTGTTGTGTTGGATGAAGTGAGACAACATTAGTAATAGTCTTCTTAATTAGTCTTTCTATAGTCTCTTTGTCCTATTGTTTTTGTTAAACCCTTAAATAATAATCGGTATAATGATTCCTAAACTTGATTTTTGTTATGGATTAATGATCGTAATCCTTTTTCAAAGCGTAAGACAAGGCACACGTCTTGTTAGGGATAGAGTACAAAGTCCTAGCTTCGTGCGGCCAAAAAACTTATGCCTCAAATTAAATAAGCTCATTTATACCACTATACATTCATAGGTCGCCAAATTCAGAGAGTTGTAATAAGCCAAATATTGTGTCCGTTCGATAACATCATTCAATTTGCTGAACTTGCTTAAATTAGTTTAATTGAAACTACTAAAATGACTGTATCTATTCAATTAAGAGAAAATTATATCTACAATATATATTATTATTCAAATATGGGAAAAGTTATATGGAAAATAGCTAAATCAATCATTTTCATACAATTGAGTCACTTGAAAAAGTAGCTTGAAGTTTACTTATTGATTAAACAATTCAACATTTATAATTAAAAGTAACGTGTTTGGTAAAAATGTTGACTGAGGCTGATGAGTCAAAAATAGATGTCACCAAATGGCTCTAATTTTTACTTCCATTATCTTTAATAATTGAAATAATTATTTATTTATGATTAAAATAAACATTGCTTCTAAAAATGTCACCTCTTAATTGTAGTGACTAGTGCATTATCTTTAATCATAGTAACTTATAAGGAGTATTCAATTTTTTACACTTAAATAATAATGACATTATATTGTAGAAGCTTTATATCATATTTTTGCAAATAAAAGTTGTTTCAAGTAGGGGTGGACTGAGTCTTGTCTGGCTCGAGCTCCGGGACCAAAATTATCAAGCCTGGTAGGGGCCCGGGTTTGTACCAGGATCGGGTCGGGTCGGGCCGGGCTACCTAGGCGGGCTTCGGGACGGGACTGAGTCGGGTCGGGCCAAACAATTCCAAGCCCAGATTTTGTTTTTTTGGAATTCTTGACCTTTAGGCCTAGGCCTGGGCTCAGCCCGGCCGGTCCACTAAATTCATAGCCCGATACCGCTTGCTTTTTCATTCGGGTCGGGCCTCGGGCTTGGTCCCGGTCCCGATCAACCGGACAAGGCTTGCACATTAGCAGGTCGGGCCCACCCGTCCCAATCCACCCCTAGTTGCAAGTAGTATTTTGAAAAATGTCTTAATAATTTCCATATTTTTATTTTTCGTAGCCTATAACTAACCGCATTTATCTATTTAAATATTTTGGACAAAAAATCATGTGTGTTCTATATTATTTTGCTCTTGTTTTGTATAACTTTTAATTACACATTATTTTTATTTTCTTAACACGAGGTGTAGTCAAGAGATAACTATGAGTCTATCTGACGCAAAGGTAATATACTAATACGTAGTATTAGTTTATAAGTCACTAAGTTTCTTACGTCACCATCTACATCTTTCTTTTATTTTTTCTTACTATAGTTCCGGAGCTTCTCTGAGCTAGGTTTCCTAAGGGAAACGAAATTTTCCGAAGCAAGAATATATAAATTTTATATTATTACATGTTTAATAATGTCACAAAGGTTAAATGGACGACTTGTCAAGTTATCATGCATTTTGAATAAAAGTTGACGAAGTCCATTGCGCTAACATTATACGATATAATTGTTTTTAGGATGTTTTCTTTTGGACTGTTTTCAGTCTCAGACCAGACCAGACCAGACTTAAACAGACCAGACTTTAACAGACCAGACCAGACCAGACCAGACTTCCGTAGTTATAAAATACACAGAGACCAGACGTTTACCAGACCAGACCAGTTCAGACCAGACTTAAACAGACCAAACCAGACCAGACCAGCAAATTTCAGTCCAAAAGAAAACATCCTTAGCACGAGGATATTCCAATTTTGACGGACTAATATTAGATTTTAAAAATCCACACATTCCATTCCATGGATCCTTTCCAAATAAACATTTGAGAAAAGTAAATTAGAGTCATCCGGACAACAACTTAGAATCTTATTATCATCTATCTATACATCACCCCACACAAGGAATCACTCAGTAATATGTTATGCATGTCATTAGATTCCCACCGGCCACCACACCTCAAAACATCCGCCATTAATTGATCAAACAAAACTAGAACCCTAAGTTCCATCTTTTTTAAGTTCAAAATAATAATTCCAATATTGTTGTCACATAGTAGGAAGTATTTTGTAATATTAAATCGTCATTAAGTGAGGGTTACAAATATGAAAAGTATGATATTTAATGCTTTTAAGAATTACAAACACAAAATAAAACGTACTCCGTAATTGAATTCTAGGCTTCTAGTCGACGCATAAAAGAAAATTTAGAAAGAACTTTGACTACAACACCTTTTCAAACTATCATTATTATATTAAAGGACAGTCTTAAATGACTTTCCAACCACACTAACATAAATGGCAAAACTGCTGCTAGTTTTTAAGGAAATCAAACATGACATTTCTACTAATTATGGTAACAATAGAAAATTAAGGAAATAAAATAAACTACAAGAATTAGAAAATTGTGATTTTGACTAGCTAGCTAGATCGTTACGAGGAGTCGAACTTATAGTGTTTATCGACGGCGACGGACACGTCCCAAGTACAGCTGAGTCCCTTCGGTATAGTGACCAAGTCGCCGGCGCCGAACTCCACTGTCTCCGGCGAAGTTGCGTTCTTTGGGTAAACCTTAACTTTTCCCCTTAACAGATAACACGTCTCCTCGGCTTCAAACTTCAGTTGGTACTTTCCTGGTGAACAACCCCATCTGTTTTTTTTTTCAAAAAAAAAAAAGAACCATAAAAATGAATAAATTAAATTCTCAGGAACAGAGTAAAGTAAGAGAAAAACTAAAAAAGAAGGAGAATTGAAGAAAATGGGATATATACTTGGGCCAAGATTTGATTCCCAGCTCGGAGAGATGGGCCTCCGATGGGTTTTTCAGGACAGTGATACATAGATGTGAGGATGAGGTGGACTCGTCGGCCATGGAAGCTTGATGGGTCTTTTGTACTTGGTGATAGAGAAAGAAGAAGAAGAAAGGTAGAGAGAAGCTTTGACCAGAGAATTAGTGGGGGAAAAGAAACTGAAAGTCCATTACATTTATCAGCTACATACCAGGAGGCTGACTGCATTTTAAATGCCCATTTAAACACATACTCTCTATATACGTAGTACTTTGTATAATAATACTCCTTTAATTTTGTTCCCAAAAAGTTCACCAAATGGACTTTTTATGGTTAACTAGTATAGTACCCGTGCATACGCACGGGAAAAGCAGTTGATGCATATATATAATTATGATGTAATCAAATATTAAAATAGAATAGTTATTCAGAATAATTATTAAGATATATTTGCACGAATAATGGAGGATAGTATCTAAAACCACTACATATGATATTAAAAAAATGTTTCCCTCACTTATTAGTCCGCTTATTTTATACGGAGTACTTAAAAATACTACATATGAGAGAAAGTTATCCCGCTCAATTATTACTCCATTTATCTTCTTATACTTAAAAGCATTAGTATGAGAGAGAAAATTTTTCCGCTCAAGTATTAGTCCACTCATCTTATTTTATACTTAAAAATACAACATATGAGAGAGAAAATCCTTTCGTTAAATTATTTGTTTGCTTTTCTTATGTCTACAACTCTAAAAGTATTACATATGAGAGAAAAACTTCTCCTGCTCATTTATCAGTACGCTTATCTTATATCTACATATGAGAGAAAAATACTCTCTCACTTATTAGTACGCTTATCTCATACCTAAAACTACTACATATGAGATAAAAAATTCTCCCGCTCATTTATTATTCCGCTTATCTTCTTATACCTAAAACATTATATATGAGAGAAAAAATTCCCCGCTCAGTTATTAGTTCGTTTATCTTCTTATACCTAAAAACACTACGTATGAAAAGAAAAAATTTCCACTCAATTATTAGCTTGTTTATCTTATTTTATACGGAGTACCTAAAAACATCACATATAAGAGAGAAAATCATTGTACTCAATTATTAGTTCACATATATTTATTTATACATAAAAGCACTACATATGACTCATATGAGAGAAAAAACTTTCTCGCTCACTTATTAGTCCGCCTATCTTATCTTATCTTATATACTTAAAATCACTACATATGAGAGAGAAATAATACTCCCTTCGTATTTTTTTGTTACAATAGGTGTTGGCACATTTTTTAAGAGTGAAATAGTACACGTAATGAATAGTGTAAGAAAGTAGGAGAGGTGGTGAAAAAATATGAAAGATAAGATAAAAAGTAGAAAAAGTAAGGGTAGTTGAGTATTTTTAAAGGAAAAACATACCAAAAAGGGAAAGTGTAGCAAATTTTTGAATACCTCCAAAAAGGGAAAGTGTAGCAAACAAAAAAATACAGAGGGAGTATTAGATTTTTATTACTTGTAGGTATTATGATGATGATGACTACCTCCGTCCCTTTTTATTTAATCATCTTCGACTTTCTCAGTCAAAAATAATAAACTTTGATACATTATTTTAACTAATATATTTATGTGAGACTTAAAAAATATATACTTTTATGATAATAGCTAAAATGGTCTTTTACAACAATTTCAGCCAATTAAGCCAAAAAAGTTACGTATATGTGAACATTTCATTAAGCACCAATTTATAATGATGGTAAAAAATAAATAGTGGTGACTATATAGAATGAATATATGGAGTGATTTTTCAAATGATCACAATAAAATTGTAGAAATTTGCGAATTAAAATTACAATAGAAAGGATATAATCTGGGAAAGGGTCAAATAGGGCCTCGAACTTACATAAAAAGGTCAAATAAGGTTTTATATAGGATGCTCTGTTCAGCCAACGCCATTTGGGGCGGTTCCCGGTGGAATTTTTTGATGAAATTTTTTGAGCATCGTAGTCATTAAGTCTAGTTTACTCATACAAAATTTTAGCTAAAACTTCAATCGGGAAGACATTCAAATAAATTCTTAAAGATAACTGTGCTTAGCATCCTTTTCTAGTCACTTTGATATAATTTTAACCACAATTATAGTAACTAAAAATTAATAAGTCGTATTTGTATCCATTAACCTTATTTTAGTTATATATTACAAATTATTTATTCATTCAATACGGAATAATTGATATCGTGATTGGAAAATCGGAAGCTTTAATAAACATTTATAATTGTTTTAAATTATATATATTAAATATTGATGTCATATGAAAGACCGTAAAAAACTATGATTTTTGATATATTTTTATAATAATTAGAGTACAAATGAAAAAGTTATACCACTATAAAAAAAGTGCTTTTTATACAATGGGCACCGAGAATTTAATCTCTCCTCAACCGACCTTCCGATGCTATTGCTATTACGTAAGTAGTACCGTAGTTATCCTTTTCCAAATACAAAATATAGATTTTGACACATGACATTGTTATAGTAAAGGAGCAAATTGTGGGGAGATAGACACATAGAATTAATGAAGGGTGCAATTGTCTTTTAACCTAGTATAGTATCCTTGCATACGTGCGGGAAATAGTAGTTGGTGCATTTATTTTTACTCATGATCTAATTAAGTATTAAAACAAAAATAACTTTTTAGGATTCTACATTTTAGAGAGAGAGAAAGAGTACAATAAATTAATATCATAAAGTAATCCATACAATATATATTAAATGAAGAGTATATTAGGAAAAATTAATTGAAACCACTCATTAGAAATTATTATCTATTAATTTTCATGATTGAATTAATTTTAAAATTAAATACAATTCTAAAAAAGTAAATACAATAAGTGAATGACATAAAGTTTAAGTAAATACGACAAATATTAATATTAACGAATATTAGTTAAATAAGAACTTGCTAATCATTAGTTAAAATAGTGCTAACATATGAGAGAGAACTACCTATAAGAAAGAAAATTATCCCTCTCAATTGTAAGGAAAATTATTTTCTAATACCTAAAAGCACTACATATGAGAGCGAAAATTATTCCGCTCAATTCCCCTGATCAATTGTTAGCAAACTTATCTTTTATAATACCTAAAAGCCGTGCACATGGTAGAGAAATTTCTTCCGCTCAATTATTAGCAAGCTTATATTGTTATACCCTAAACCACTACATATGAGAGCGAAAATTCTTTCACTTAATTGTTAGTCGTCTTATCTTATACCTAAAAACACTATATATAAGAGAGAAAGTTATTGCGCTCCATTGTTAGAAAGTTTATTTTCTAATACCTAAAAGCACTACATGTGATAGAGAAAGTTATCCCGCTCAATCCACCTGCTTAATTGTTAGCAATCTTATCTTCTATACCTAAAGACACTACATATGATAGGAGAAATTTCTCCCGATCAATTATTAGCAAGCTTATCTTCTTATACATAAAATCACTACATATGAGAGGGAAAATTCTCCCGCTCAATTGTTAGCTGGTTTATCTCATACCTAAAAGCACTATACATGAAAGTAAAAATTACACCGCTAAATTGTTAGCAGGTTTAACTTCTAATACCTAAAAGTACTACATATGAAAGAAAAGATTATTCTGCTCAATTCTCGTGCTCAAAGTTTGTCTTCTAATACCTAAAAACACTACATATGATAGGGAATTTTGTCCCGATCAATTATTAGCAAGCTTATCTTCTGCTTCTTCTTATTCCTAAAACCACTACATATGAGAGAGAAAATTCTCCCGCTCAATTGTTAGTCAGCTTATCTTATACAGTTATGCCTAAAAAGACTAAAAGCACTACATATGAGAGAGAAAACTTCCCTGGTCTCAATTTTTAGCCAATTTATCTTATACTTAAAAGAGCTACATATATATTTAAAGTTTTTCCGCTCAATTGTTAGCAAATTTATCTCCTAATACCTAAAATCACAACATATGAGAGAGAAACGTATCCCGCTCAATTGTTAGCAAGCTTATCTTCTAATATTTAAAAGCACTACGTATGAGATAGAAAAATATCCCGCTCAATTCTCTGCTCAATTGTTAGAAAGCTTATTTTCTATTTTCTAATACCTAAAGACACTACATATGATAGACAAATTTGTCTCATTCAATTATTAGCAAGTTTATGTTCTTATACCTAAAAACTCCACATGGGTGATATCTTCCAACATTAGCACTATTTCAACATTGGTATTATATTAACGTGATGACAAATCAGACCATACAAAAATAATAGTAGAATTGACATATTTATCCAGATAACAAAAAACTTAGAGTATGAAGTAATTAATCCGCTTTCTAGCCTTTCTAGTGCACATGGAGCAAGCTTCATAGCTCCATTTGTTTTTTCCAACTATAAACTTTGCAACTCTCCCAATTTTGACATGCACATAATTATTTTCTAGAGAATAATATGAGATATTAAATTTCTAATTAAATTGTTAACATCTTGTTACATACGTACTAAACAAAAAAAGAGTATCATAAATTTAAAAAAAAAGCAAGTTTGATATAAAGAGTATCATAAATGATAATATTTAAGAAAAAGCATATATAGACTTTTCAAATAAGCATAGTACTTCCATTCCCATGAGTGGACAAATTTTAATGAGACGGAGAAAGTTACATAAAATATATTCCATAATATCTTTCGTAATAGAAAATAAAATGTGTACGAAATACGTATGTTACCTACAGAAGTTTTGGCAAAATAGAATTTAATATTAATGGAATATTCGTATTTTTAAAATCATAAGGCTAAAAAAAATTTACAATACATTAATAAATAAAATATAATCAAAATAAAATATGTGAATATTATAAACCTATAAATGTTGCATTTGTTTATAACACAATTCAGGCAGAACATTAACTTCACACTTTCTTATTTTGATCATAACACAATTCAGCTCGCGAAATCAAAATTTAAGTACGTATTTGATGAAAAATTGACTGAATTTGTACATTAGCCTTTTTTTTGAAAATCTATTTATATTCAAAGTGTTATAACCTTTTCATCTAAACTCTAAGTTTTACAAAATATATTAAAATTCATCATTCTTGTAACGTTTCAAATGACGATAATATTGCATATAATTGTTTTTCATGATTTATTAAACAACTTCCTGTTTTTCAATTTAAACATAAT